GGGACTGGGAGACTAGTCAGGATCGAGGCACAGATGAACGGAGCAAAGTACAGAGAGATCCTTGATGAAAACCTGTTCCAGAGCGCTCAGGACCTCAGACTGGGGGCGAAGGTTCACCTTCCAACAGGACAGTGACCCTAAGCACACAGCCAAGACAACGCAGGAGTGGCTTCGGGACAAGTCTCTGAATGTACATGAGTGGCCCAGCCAGAGCCCGGACTTGAACCCAATTGAACATCTCTGGAGAGACCTGAAAATAGCTGTGCAGCAACGCTCCCCATCCAACCTTACATTGCTTGAGAGCATCTGCAGAGAGGAATGGGAGGAACTCCCCAAATATAGGTGCCAAGCTTATAGCGTCATACCCAAGAAGACTTGAGGCTGTAATCTCTGCCAAAGGTGCTTCAACAAAGTACTGAGTAAAGGGTCTGAATAGTTATGTAAATGTTATATTTCAGATTAGTATTTTTTATAAATTTGCAAACATTTCTAAAAACCTGTTTTTGCTTTGTCATTATGGGGTATTGTGTGTAGATTGATAAGGGGAAAAAACAAGTTAATCAATTTTAGAATAAGGCTGTAACGTAACAAAATGTGGAAAAAGTCAAGGGGTCTGAATATTTTCCGATTGCACTGTAGATCCAGAAATTTGCAGAGAAGTAGCATGCCGTTTGGCCGGAGCAAGGAGTCTGGGTAGCCAGGCAAAGGACAACTAGCTCTGAGGCAGGTATGGCTCATCTGGACTTGGGCTTGGTCCTGTCGGCTCTCTTGTGCTCATCTATCCGCAGGAGGTAACCCCCTCTCAGCCACCCTTCCTGGAAACAGAGGTAAACCCCAGAGTTGGACGGAGAGGACCGGTGGATGAGGTAGCCGTTTCCCTCTTGTGAGAGATCCAGGGAGTGGGTTCTGTTATTTTGGAGAAGGCTGTGCATCTCGTTCCCAGTATACAGGGCTGTGGGCAGGGAGGTGGACATAAATAAATAAGAGTGAGATATAACCAGTGGCTACTGGGCTCTGAAATATCCAGTTATACATTATAATGTTCTCGAATAAGCCATTATAGATGTGTTGTGATTGATTGGTGTGTTGACAGCCCTCCCTTAATGTGACCTTACTAAAGAGCCCCTGAAGTGGAAAGGGCCATCAGCTCACCTGTACACAGAGACAGAGGGACACATGAGCAATGTCCAAGGAGGCAGTGAAGTCAACAGGCTTCAGGAGTGACAGATGAAGCATCAGCAGTAGAGTGGGAATGTCATCGTTGTCATGCTGACGAGAGGTCGGGCAGTCCTGCCAATATGTAATTATGAGCTCTGGGCACCGGACAATGGAGAAACCTTGCAACCTCCTCTCTAGATGTCTCTGCACCATCCCACGTGGAAGAGCTTCCCCTCTCCTGTGCTCACATAGTGTGCATAGCACAACCTTGGTAAAGGATAGAGGAAGCTAGGAAATAGCACTTCTCAGTGGATGTAACATGACACTACAACTCGTTCTGTCACAGGGAGACTAGCAAAATCGAAACAAAGTACTATCAATATCATAGCATCTTCTTTCTTACCAGCATCTATGTAACTATACACCGACTCACTCAATCCTCTCTCCAAGTTCCCAACAGCGATTGCAACACCTCCACTAACACCTTCCCCAACCTCACTGTCAAGTTCTCCCTGCACCTCCAAACAAGCCAGGGTTACATCAGCCGCCTGACAGGTATAGATTCCAGAGTCATGAACCCGGGTCTCAAAGGGTGTAGGGAGGCACCAGGGCAAACCAGTGGCAGGGTTGAGGCTGAGTAGGGCCACAGTGCAGGTCTTCCCAGTGCCACACAATCAATGGGGCTTCAGCAAGACACTAGGCCACACCCCAGACAGGAGCATGACCAATAAGCTCACAGTAACACAATCCATGGTCCCCCAGGGCAAGCATGGAGTATTTTTATGTCTGGAAATTACTGCTCAGGCATCTTCTGCATTTCAATGCCTCTGTAGTTTCCCAGTGCTCTATTTGGAAGCCCTTTCCCATCCCATGATCTCATCAAACAGCTGGGATATAAATAATCTTGTGAACTCTGCCTCAAAGGACACAGAGGATATTTTGTCCATACTCAATCATTATAAAGGAAATAAGGAAATCACTTGTTCATAAAAATAATTACTTCAGTTGGATTGGTAAATGAAATACAGTGCTTTTAAGTGGTAATCATTTTGCAGTTGAGCATACAAGCAAAATCAAACACTGATGGTGCCAGTAAAAATGGTCATACACAATTATGACATGTTTTTTTAATGGTGACAGTACATAGAAATGATGAGCATTGAGGAAGACAGTTCGCTGATGCCACTCAACTCAAGAAGAGTAATGCAAATGACTATGCAGCAGTCAGACAGTCTTCTTTCTTCAAGCTGGGCCTGCCCAAGTCCTTCCTGAAGAAAGAAGACATACTTCTTTCAAAAAAATGCTCACTTTTTCCCATTGAAATATAAAACCTAAGACACACAAAATGGCACAGAGATGTCTGACCATGATGGGCCATTGCAGCTCCTGCATAAGGACTGATCTGGTAGTGGTGGCACCCATAACCCTGGAGAGAAGTGTCAGGATATCAAGAGGAGCAGAAGTCCACTTCTGTACCAACCTCTGGAAAGAAGACAGTGGCCTAGAGGGGAAGAGATGGGAGAAATAGGATGAAGATAAGTTGAATAGAAGGCAAGTATAATTAAAAAGGACATGCTAAGCATTGGGAAAGTCTGTTCATCCATTCAATTACAAAAATAAATTATATATTTAGTATGAACGACATTACACTTATTCCAACATTTCTCATTTCATTACTGGCACCTACATGGTTTCCCTATTCTGCTAAAATAATAAACGCAATACTTCTCTAGCAGAATTCCACTTCCATACCAACCTCTTGTGCAAGGAAAGAACATAAGAGGCCTAGACGTGGGGGATGGGAGCAATAAGATGGGGATCAGTTGGATACAAAAGGATTCAAAAGATACTAAGCATGGGAAAAGTATGTCATCCAATGGGGCTAAAAGGTGATAAACATAGGATTAGTTGTTTTAAATTTTTGCATTGTAATTTCAGAAAATGTCCATAATATATCTGGCGCTAATAGTGAAATGATAGTGTTTCAGAGTATTACTTACCCGCTAGTGTTAGGATTGGCTGTGACATTCGCCTATCGATTTCTCCTGCCGGAGCGGCATCAGTTGTCAAAATGGGAAAGCTGTTTGACTTGTACCATCTAAAATGGCTGTGAAATATATTTTCAATAACAAAAAGTTATAGTTTTTACAGCTGTTTGAAGCTGGTAGACCAGCTTCAAACAAAACTACATTTGTTTCTGAAAATATATTTCACAGCAATTTAGATGGTACAATGATTCGCTTAACTATTCAGTGCTTGTTTTCTCACATAAACCGAAATTGAGCGACGTGTAGAATTTTAGCAACCATCAAATGACAGAGCGATTTCCACTAGGTAAACTGCCAAAGTCAGAACAGCTTTCCCATTTTGACAACAGATGCCGCTTCAGCTGGAGAAATCAATAGGCGAATAGCACAGCCAATCACAACACTGGCGGGTAAGTAATAGTGAAACATTCCACTATTACTGCAGATATTATGGAAATTCTGAAATTACAATGCCAGAATCCTGTGTAGCGTCTTTAAAGTATGATAAATCATACTTCTGTATAAATGACCTTAATTTAACATTACCTCCACATGTCCTCATTGTAGGACACAGCATAAGACAGCACGGCCATCTCCTAGATTGTGTCCACAACACCTATCCACAGATCATGGTTCTAACAACCTACAAAAAGCAGAAGTGCTAAGAATACCTGGGGTTATTGTCCTATGTATTATGGGAGAGGGCATAGTTAGATCATTAAGCCAAAAACATTACATATATTTGAGAGAATGATTGTAAAGAACATGGTAGGGTATGCAGTGGTTGAAAGATAGGAACTGTGACATTGTGAAATTGAGCGCTTTCAGAGATCGTAAGACAATATACATTTGCCATCGCAAAGTAAAAAGATGGAAAGAGGGTAAATTCCCCACTACTTTAAATATAAGTTAACATTGAAAAGCGTATTTTTCAGGAGAATGGACCGAAATGCCATAGATTAAGTTACAGTGCTGGTGCATATTGGCTTTCACTGACTGCAATGAGCATTGTCATGAAGCGCCTATAATAACGAGGAAAGATGGGGAAGTTCAAAGTGACGATATAGTTCAAATCTGTTTATTAAAAAGCTTTGAAATCAAAATGTCATCTGTAAAGAAAAGAAAATCATACATAAACGCAGCTTTGGGGTATCTAGGTATGTAAATCGGCATATAATTTAACACAATGTCTTAACAAATCAAATTTGCATAGGTAGTTAAGTTAAATCACTACGCTAACAGTTGCGTCGCAAAACGTCTTGTATACTGGTAAGTACCACCCACAACCAAGATCACCAATTAAAGCGATGTTACACTAACACGTTGTTGGACTGATTATGCAAATGAGTGTTGTTTATTAATCAAACTTAAGCTAGATACAGCTCTAAGTATCTAAAAGACATCTCCAGAATCTTCGTAACATTCATGTTTACCAAAATTACATAGATTGCTATTTAATTAACATTCAAATAGTCCCTTCATGAATCACAGTTTAGAGGGTTTTTATCCATGAACATGACGTTATGAAGGAAGAAATTTAACGTTAGGTCTTAGGCCTATATAGAGCCCTTAGCAGTACTGCGTCATTTCAAAATAGAATAACACCTCAAAAATACAGTGCCTTCCTCCTATGCCCCAAACAGTTTATGAACCTCGAACAATAAAATCAAGCAGAACAAATGTAAAACAGTTCAAGCAAGAGGACGAAACCGTAGACATAAAAGCGTTTTTTTTGTATGGGTGCCCGCAATCAATAGAGTATCTTCCAGTAAGTCGCAGGTGAACGCAACGCAATCCGCCACAGACGAAGGGGGGGGGGGGGTATAGTGCCACGTGCATCAGGAGACGACGATCTTGTCGGATAATTTAACCCTGGAAAGAGAGCAAACCACACAAGTCAAGCGCATTTTACTCATGGAGGAACGCGCTGAGGTTCAGTAAAAACTTCCAGCATTCTTTAAAGGCATATTACGATTTCACATTGTTCAGTTGAAGCAGATTTGGAGAGTTTGTAAAAAGCTAATGATATGGTGAAACAATGCATTTGAAGCTTTTCTAGTCTGGTATTTTAAGCGAGACACTGAACGTCAATGAGGATTAACTCCTAATTCAAACCTTCCCCTCCCCATTGTTTTAAGTGAGCTAGATATGGAGTGTAATTGCATAGTGTACTACCCTGTTTCTGATATCTCACCTTGAGTCAAGCACCAGTGTGGGTTCAGTAAGAGTAGCGGGCAGGAGGCGGCAGAGGCACCCTGTCAGCATAGGGGTCTCTGGTACGTGGTAGGTTGTACATCGCTGGCCTGGACAGAGGAGAGAGCCGAGAGCGCTCATAGGAGTAGCCGTTACCCGCGGGGGGCATGGGGGGAGGAGGGGGTCTTCTGATGGGACTGCGATCACGGGCATAGTAGGAGGACGGAGGGGGGAGGGGGCGACGCTCGTACGGGTTGAGGGAGGAGGCCGTAAGGCGCTCCCTAACCATGACAGAAGGGGGTGGTGGAGGGGGTATGGAGCCAACGCGCCTTTCATCTCCATAGCCTGAAAGGCCACCGTAAGGGGCAGGCCGAGCTCTGTACTTCTCATAGTAATCCACCACCCCATAGCTTTCTCTCTCGCGCTCATAAGAACGCTCTGGGGGGTAAGGGGCTCGTCTAGGGGGAGGTGGTGGTGGAGGGGGGCCGGGGTATCCCCCTGACATGCGACCTCTGTAATGAGGGGGCTCAGGCAGCCCCCTGTCCCCGGGGTAGCCACGGGGTGGAGGCCAGTATCCACCCCTATCTGGTGGGGGGCCGTAATCCTCTTCCTCCCCCCTGGGACGGCTTTTTGACATCTGAACGTGAATCCGTTTGCCTAAAAAGGAAAACCTTGATTAACACTCAGACAGTGACATGCAAAACTAAAGTCCATATTTAACTTCAGGACTTTCCAATGGTTCAATCGTAAATCTTAATGAGGGTATTTTTCTTACCTTGGAAGTCGGTGTTGTCTAATCCTTTTATGGCATCCTTGGCCTCATCTGAGTTGGACATGTGGATGAATGCGAAATTTTTTATGATGGCGCATTCTGTCACTGTTCCATACTCCTCAAACAGAGTGCGGAGCTCATCGTCGCTGCCTTTCTCCACATTGGCCACGTGAAGTTTCACTGGACCCTGATTCTTCCCCCTGCTCGGCTCCACATTGATTGGCCTGCCATGAAGCTTGAAGAGGTGCAGGCTGCGGATGGCTTTGGTGGCAGACTTGCGGTCATCCATGTGGACAAAGGCATAGTTTTTGAACTTTGCACATTCTGTCACTGTGCCATGTTGAGTAAACAGAGCCTCGATCTCATCCTTTTCAACCTCGTTAGGGAGGTTTCCAATAAAGATTTTCACCATCTTTATGTCAACTCAGAGCCTGTGACAGAGGATAGGCATGTCAATATACCAGTTTGGCTGCAAATGAAGTCGTGACGCTAAGTGAGTGGGCGGCATTGACAGGAAATGCACTGGTTAATGTTATATAGCTAATGTTAGCTAGCTAACTAGTGAAATGTAATTTAAACTGGCCCAGCAATTACTGAATGTTAGTTAGGCAGCAAACTTTGTTCAATGTCAAAGTTCACATTTCTAAAGTCTGGCAAGCTGTTGTCTAGTAAGCAAAGGTGGAAAGCGGAGTGGTTAGCTAGTTAGCTATGGAATATCGAAAGTAGGTAAGACTTCCTCCATCTCAGCGTCGACTGACTGGGTGGCTAACGACGTTAGCAAGCCAACTTAGCTAACGTTAGCTAGCTAAGTACGTTAGCTATGATAGATAGCTAGTTCAATATAACGACCAAAATAAGAATGGAAAATTAATGTAATACAATTATCGTAAAGCAAGTTGAGCTAGTTAATTTGGCATAAAACAATTCGAAATAACGAATACATTGCCGTAGTAAGATTCCACAAACTCACCTCACTGCTACTAGGACGACGACACACGATAACGTATATCAACCCTACTTCTATGCGTATAATGGCGGTCCACAAACAAACGTTTGAGGTGCCTGCCGCCGATTTAATACCTCACGTCCGTTTTCTGAACAAATGCGACATGTCCCGCCCACTGATAGGTTTGATTGGTGAATGGCCTTGCCCGTAAATTATTCACCGTCAAATGCGCAGTTTGATTGGACAAACTGGCAAAAAATATATATGAATTTACAGAGGAGAAAAAAAGTGGGCTAGATCATTTTGCGTGGCCCGGTGCTCCGGGTAGGCGGAGTATCCATATTTTAGAACATTCCATTGGTTCTTAAGTGAAATCTCTACCTACCTGGGGTACCGGCCCATGCAAAACGAACTAGCCCGATCACAACAATTTGATTTTCAAATGAATCTTCCGGGAAATGGACTTAACTTTGCTCTTATTTTTTCAACCCATGTGTTGCTCAGTGCTAAACAATGCAAATAAGTGCTAACACATCCCAGTATACCTACACCTAAATAATTCATTTTCAGACAATTGAAGTTAAAATATTTTATTATTTACATTAATATTCTCTAAAATACAAAATTGGTACAGTACATGAATCAGATACTATAGTTGCATGGTTGTGTTAATCGTGTAATTTCAAGTGGTAGCATCTAACAAGCCTATACAAAACACAAATGATTTTTATATTTTGATTCATTCATTGTAATCAATATCATTCTGATAATGTTATGATTTCCTGATAATGTTATGATTTGTCTAATAGTGTCTGCTTTCCTATAATTTTTTTAAACAGATCTATGTGATGCACTGTTGGCTGGCTGTGCTGCCTGTTTCACATTCTAGGATAGCACTCGACATCCACAACCCCCTAATTTATTTATTGCTTCTGCTGGCTATATTGTGGTGCGGAGGAGTAGACTTCTACAGGCATAGGCTGTAGAGGCATAGAGGGGTGAGAGGGGTGAGAAAAGGATTGAGGGGGATGCATGTTGATCTGGACAGATGGGACATTGACGAGGAGGAGAGGGCGCTGACGTAACTTCAGCTCGCGGGCCATCTGGCACCAGGCAAAGGGGGTGCAGCAGTTGACCATGAGGCAGTCGTTGCATATGGTCCCCTACAGGCGGTGGCGGTGGTGGGGAGGATATGAGACTGATATTGATTAAACAGATTATTGTTTGTAAGATCATGTGAATACAGTGGCTTTCATTCCCATGATCACATCTCTTCTATTGGCCCTATTCAATGATACAGTATAGGTCATTGGCCCTATTATGGCAGTCATTATGATTGTGTGTTTATTGATCTTGTCTAGCATCACCTGACAGCTCTGTGTGTATGAGGCACTGGTTAATTGTATTATAGGAGATGTTACGATATTACATTTACGTCATTTAGCAGACGCTCTTATCCAGAGCGACTTACAAATTGGTGCATTCACCTTATCAGCAAAGAGTTATGTCAGGGGTGTTTCACTCTACCTGGATGCGGTATCTCTCCCTCATGGTGCTCCGGAGGGCCAGAGAAGCAGTTGGGAACCAGCAGGACAAAATTTCCAGCAGGGGGAGACAGAAACACTCCCCAAAGTCTGTACTGATCTGACATCGCAGACAGCAGGGGCACCAGAACCCCAAACAACCTGACAGGAGAGACAGACAGACAAAGTTACTCACACACGTATGCACACACACGCACACACAAACACACACGGATACACACACACTAAATACACTCACAGATCTTCATGTCGTCACAACAGTCAAAGATGCTGCTGCTCCACACCTCAGTCTTTATGTCAGCAGGGGACCGAAACATCCCTGGCTGTATGTTCACTACAGGCATCAGCTGGGGCTGGACTGCCATCACTATGGATATACAGAGGACAATGCAAAGGGACTGCCAGAGATCTGCCCAGGTAATATGGATTTGAGTTAAATGAGGAACTGAAAAATTATATACATAAATATATACAGTGGGGGAAAAATTGTGCAAGTTCTCCCACATAAAAAGATGAGAGAGGCCTGTAATTTTCATCATAGGTACACATCAACTATGACAGACAAATTGAGAGAAAAAAAATCCAGAAAATCACATTGTAGGATTTTTAATGAATTTATTTGCAAATTATGGTGGAAAATAAGTATTTGGTCACCTACAAACAAGCAAGATTTCTGGCTCTCACAGACCTGTAACTTCTTCTTTAAGAGGCTCCTCTGTCCTCCACTCATTACCTGTATTAATGGCACCTGTTTGAACTTGTTATCAGTATAAAAGACACCTGTCCACAACCTCAAACAGTCACACTCCAAACTCCACTATGGCCAAGACCAAAGAGCTGTCAAAGGACACCCAAAACAAAATTGTAGACCTGCACCAGGCTGGGAAGACTGAATCTGCAATAGGTAAGCAGCTTGGTTTGAAGAAATCAACTGTGGGAGCAATTATTAGGAAATGGAAGACATACAAGACCACTGATAATCTCCCTCGATCTGGGGCTCCACGCAAGATCTCACCCCGTGGGGTCAAAATGATCACAAGAACGGTGAGCAAAAATCCCAGAACCACACGGGGGAACCTAGTGAATGACCTGCAGAGAGCTGGGACCAAAGTAACAAAGCCTACCATCAGTAACACACTACGCCGCCAGGGACTCAAATCCTGCAGTGCAAGACGTGTCCCCCTGCTTAAGCCAGTACATGTCCAGGCCCGTCTGAAGTTTGCTAGAGTGCATTTGGATGATCCAGAAGAGAATGTCATATGGTCAGATGGAACCAAAATATAACTTTTTGGTAAAAACTCAACTCGTCGTGTTTGGAGGACAAAGAATCCTGAGTTGCATCCAAAGAACACCATACCTACTGTGAAGCATGGGGGTGGAAACATCATGCTTTGGGGCTGTTTTTCTGCAAAGGGACCAGGACGACTGATCCGTGTAAAGGAAAGAATGAATGGGGCCATGTATCGTGAGATTTTGAGTGAAAACCTCCTTCCATCAGCAAGGGCATTGAAGATGAAACGTGGCTGGGTCTTTCAGCATGACAATGATCCCAAACACACTGCCCGGGCAACGAAGGAGTGGCTTCGTAAGAAGCATTTCAAGGTCCTGGAGTGGCCTAGCCAGTCTCCAGATCTCAACCCCAAAGAAAATCTTTGGAGGGAGTTGAAAGTCCGTGTTGCCCAGCGACAGCCCCAAAACATCACTGCTCTAAATGAGATCTGCATGGAGGAATGGGCCAAAATACCAGCAACAGTGTGTGAAAACCTTGTGAAGACTTACAGAAAACGTTTGACCTGTGTCATTGCCAACAAAGGGTATATAACAAAGTATTGAGAAACTTTTGTTATTGACCAAATACTTATTTTCCATCATAATTTGCAAATATATTCATTAAAAATCCTACAATGTGATTTTCTGGATTTTTCTCATTTTGTCTGTCATAGTTGACGTGTATCTATGATGAAAATTGCAGGCCTCTCTCATCTTTTTAAGTGGGAGAACTTGCACAATTGGTGGCTGACTAAATACTTTTTTTCCCCACTGTATACATGAGTCATGCTGATTCAATATACAATTATTACATTGTCTTTTTGTTATCAGGTTATTCAGCTAAGATAACACCGATTCAACATCATCACTACTGGACTTTAAACTTCTGAGGTCACAAAGAATACATCTCCTTTCACTACTGCCAAAGGGATTAGGTCAGTAGCTAATACAATGGTGTTTATTGGTTGGTATGACGAGCTACAACTCTAGTAGCAGGCTGGTTGTCAGGAAGTATGTGTCTACTCGGCTCAGAGGGGTGGGTCTGGTCTTTTCACAGTAAACAGAATAACAGAAGCACGACTCCTCCCCTTCAATTCATCTCTAAGGAATTGGTAGTCTACCTAGTCAGACGAGTTGCCTCCCACATTAACAATGTTCCAGCATGCACTAGTGATGTTTCTTATGCGTTGCCCTAGGTCTGGGATTTCAGAGACTAGGGAACTGGTCTATCAGAGCAATCAAAACATCTGAAGTTGTGGTTCAATTGTGGTTTGGTTGGTAAACTGGTTTAGGTACTCACAGAATGGGTCAACTCTAGGGTTCGTGTTCTGATCTATTGCAAATGACGTAGGAAATTCATGTCACAGTTACATTCTCTGCTATGATAACTTTAGCAGTTACTTTGACAGTGTTCAGTCTCTTATTAAGAACTTATCATCAGCTCTAGAGCTGAATATAAAGTAATTATTTCAAAAGCAGACACGCCATCCATAATTTATTTCACATACAAATTACCGGATATACTATATTGATTATGATATAACCACATTAATGGTAATGATATTGCTTTTAACCCACTCATTTTTCATTCCTAATTGCTTGAACGATTCCTCACATTGTACATAAACATTGTAATTGTCTGTTTTCAGTTATGACATAAAAATAACATTTGACTTATCGTTAAAAAAATACTTATCATCGAAGAACCACAAAATACATCTCAGCCTACCTGCTTCTGGAGGTGATGGTGATGGTCAGGTCTACGCCGTGTCTCGGAGGGGTGGAGATGCAGAAAACAAGGTTGGATACACAGAATCCAATTCACGTCGATGGATGGGTCGACACACAGCTAATGATATTTCAGGTGAGCACAGGTTAGTGTATACCTGAGGTTCTCTCTGGCAACCAAATGTATCTGTGTGGTGGGTGGAACCTGTGTGTGTGTGTGTGTGTGTGTGTGTGTCACTATCACTCGTGAAATGTGCATTGTCATAGGGGAGAGTGGGTTAAGTATTATCATTTTTTTACATTCAGCATCACTACGTCAAGGGAAATACAGTATTCTTTCTAACAAAGATATCCACACTGAACAAAAATATTAACGCAACATGCAACAATTTCAAAGATTTTACTGAGTTACAGTTCATATAAGGAAATCAGTCAATTTAAATAAATAAATTAGGCCCTAATCTATGGATTTCACATGACTGGGAAAACAGATATGCATCTGTTGGTCACAGATACCTTTAAAAAAAAGGTAGGGGTGTGGATCAGAAAACTAGTCAGTATCTGGTGTGACCACCATTTGCCTCATGCAGCGCGACACATCTCTTTTGCATAGAGTTAATCAGGCGGTTGATTGTGGCCTGTAGAATCTTGTCCCACTGCTCTTCAATGGCTGTGGAAAGTTGCTGTATATTGGCGAGAACTGGAACACGCTGTCGTACACATCAATCCAGAGCATCCCAGACATGCTCAATGGGTGACATGTCTGGTGAGTATTCAGGCCATGGAAGAACTGGGACATTTTCAGCTTCCAGAAATTGTGAACAGATCCTTGCAACATGGGGCCGTGCATTATCATGCTGAAACATGAGGTGATGGTGGCGGATGAATGACACGACAACGGGCCTCAGGATCTCGCCATGGTAACTCTGTGCATTCAAATCGCCATTGATAAAATGCAATTGTGTTCGTTGTCCGTAGCTTCTGCCTGCCCATAACATAACCCCACCGCCACCATAGGGCACTCTGTTCACAAAGTTGACATCAGCAAACCGCTCGCCCACACGACGCCATCTGCCATCTGCCCAGTACAGTTGGAACCGGGTATCCGTAGCTTATGCCATGAAGAGCACACTTCTCCAGCGTGCCAGTGGCCATCGCAGGTGAGCATTTGTCCACTGAAATCGTTTACGACGCCGAACTGGTCAAGACCCTTGTGAGGACGACAAGCATGCAGATGAGCTTCCCTGAGACGGTTTCTGACAGTTTGTGCAGAAATTATTTGGTTGTGCAAACCCACAGTTTCATCAGCTGTCCAGGTGGCTGGTCTCAGATGATCCTGCTGGTGAAGAAGTCGGATGTGGAGGTCCTGGGCTGGAGTGGTTACACGTGGTCTGCAGTTGTGAGGCCGGTTGGACGTACTGCCAAATTCTCTAAAACGATGGAGGCGGCTTATGGTAGAGAAATGAACATTAAATTCTTTGGCAACAGCTCTGGTGGACATTCCTGCAGTCAGCATGCCAACTGCACGCTCCCTCAAATCCTTAGACCTCTGTGGCACGTTTTTAGAGTGGCCTTTTATTGTCCCCAGCACAAGTTGCACCTGTTTAATGATCATGCTGTTTAATCAGCTTCTTGATATGCTACACCTGCCAGGTGGATGGATTATCTTAGCAAATGAGAAATGCTCACTAACAGGGATGTAAATACATTTGTGCACAAAATTTGAGAGAAATAAGCTTTTGTTTATATGGACATTTTATTTTGTTTCAGCTCATGAAACATGGGACCAACACTTTACATGTTGCGTTTATATTTTTGTTCAGTATACATATATTTCAGGATGTTGTGTACGCCTGGAAATAATCAGAATTAATGTAAACACAACAGTTTTGAAAACATAGCTTGTCCAATAAAAGGGGTCTCTTGGCACAAAACATTAAGGACACCTGCTCTTTCAATGACATAGACTGACCAGGTGAATCTAGATGAAAGCTATGATCCCTTATTGATGTCACTTGTTAAATCAATTTCAATCAGTGCATTTCAATCAGTGTAGATGAAGGGGAGGAGACAGGTTAAAGAAGGATTTTTAAGCCTTGAGACAAGTGAGACATGGATTGTGTATGTGTGCCATTCAGAGGGTGAATGGGCAAGACAAAATATTTAAGTGCCTTTGAACGGGATATGATAGTAAGTGCCTAGGCGAATTGGTTTGTGTCAAGAACTGCATCGCTGCTGGATTTTTCATGCTCAACAGTTTCCCGTGTGTATCAAGAATGGTCCACCATCAAAGGACATCCAGCCAATTTGACACAACTGTGGGAAGCATTGGAGTCAACATGTGCCAGCATCCCTATGGAATGCTTAGAC